AGTTTTTAAGTAGTAAAAAAGAGTTCGAAATTTAGGTTTTGAGCGCATAAGCTAAACTCTATATAGATAGCCCCGCTATTAGCGATTTAAAAGCGTAATTCTATTATTTACTCGCTTATTTATCGCTTTCGCTAATTCTTTATCTTTATAGTTGCCGTTAGTATTTATTAATAAGTTCTATTTTATTTATAGGGACCCTAACACTATTAAGCGCATTAGTTAAAAATTATATTAATTTAAATAAAAGCCTAAGGAACTGATAGTAGCCTTTATTACGAAATTCGAAGAAGTATTCTACTACGCTCATATAAATTCGTAACCGGATGCTACTAAAGTTAACTAAATATTTATTATTTTAAATTACGATTGGAAATAGCATTTTTTAGACCGAATTGACGTGCCTAAGTAGTATTTTTCATTGCTAGAATATTTCTATCGTTTTAATAGTAATACTTTTTTTTTAACTTTCTCTTTATTAAAGTAGGCCCTAATTAATAATAACACTAGTAATCCTATAGATACCTCTATTGATACTTTGGTAATTAAACCTTCGTTATCGTTTCAAAAGTAAAAAAATAGGTAGAAGAAAGAAGGCAAGTATACGAACTATAGGAGTAGTTTTTACTAATTTAAATAATATAAAAAAATAAGGATAAATAATTTACGGCCTAGTCCGGTTGGGGGTTTAAATAGTTATAATAATAATAATCAAAAGGAGAAATTTTTAAATTAAGTAGTACTTTGTTGAGGGTAATTTTAATAACATTATAATAGAAAGAGGTTTATAAGTCTGTAAAGAAAGGACTTTTATAATTATTTGAATATAGTATTTATTGGTTAGGGGTTAATTAATTTTATTCTACCCTTCTACGTATATTTCTAAGAGAATTTACTATAATACGTAACTATAGGAGGGTAATAAATATTATATTTCGTAGGTATAAGGACTATTAAAGTTATTCTTTAGCGGAAGAAATAATAGTTACTATTAGTAGGAAAAGTAGAACGATACGAAGTATTAAATAATAACTTTAATACTAATTATTTCCGTTATAGATTACTAATATAATATAATAAGAAAGGGCCTTAAATTAGGCAAAGTCTAGAAATATCCGCTAATTTAATTTTAGTACTAAGCTATAGCATAACTCTATAAGGGTAGGCAATAGGTATATCGCTACTAATTCGAGTACGAAATAAGTAATCGTATAACGTTTATTTGGGGGTTTAATATAAATATTTTTCTTAATATTATTAATTTCTTCCTCGTTTAAATAGGTATTTAGTTAGGCGTGTTTGGTATTGGATTTTGGTTATTTCTATATATTTAGTTATAATAAATTCTACGTGGTAAGACCGCGCTTCCTAAGGAGGAGTAGGGGGGTAATATTATAAGGCTAGAACCTAAGAGTTAAACTTAGCTATTACCAAGCCGTATCCTATTTTATCGATAAAGATACGAGCCTTCTAGTTGGCCAGACCCACATACTTACCTAGCCCGTACGGTCTTAGCATTGGTTATATAAAACCTTCTTTCGACTATACCCTTCTGGTGTAGTCTTTCCTCTCTTACTTCCTCTGTTAAATATAGTATTTCAACTATACGATTGTACGCTGTACTTTATTCGTGCAGACCCGTTACAAGAGTAGGTATATTGGAAGAAATATTGGAGAAATCTAGGATATCCAGTAGGGTTGAAAATTCTATGCGTAAGGGTAAGGGAATTTTAAAAAGGACGGCCGAATATGGTAGGGAGTTAAAATTATTAGAAGACTTTAATATTTCTTTCGGGTCTAATATAGGGATTGAATTTTAATACGGACTATAAAGAAATATTATAGCTTTATATATATTTTTAGTCGGTTTTTTACTCGTTTTTAAATTTTATATTTCAATCTGAAACTGGAACTTCTTCCGACGCTAATTAATTTTAAAATTATATTCGTATAATTAAAAGTAATTAAAAATAATATTTACGCTAAGGGAATCGATAATTATAAATATAATCCTTTTTTTCCGTTTAATATTAGAGGAGTCGCGCATTTTAATAAATGAAGTAATCAAATTACGTACAGGAACAGGTTAGAGAGAGAAATTAATAAAATAGTAATTTACAAACTTTATTTTAGTATCCGACGGGAGTAAATACCTTTTAATAAAGTTTAACTCCGCGTTGGAATTTATTAAATTATAAGTTTTTCGCTACTTTCTATATATTTTTACTAATAATTTCGTATTTAAATATAATTACAAGATACCTACGCTTCTTTAAACCGAAGTGGTTACAATCTTTACTAGTACTACCGGCTTAATATTCGCGCCTTAGATTAGAATACTATAGGGAATAGGGTATTAATATAATATATAATTTAATTTACCGCAATTATAATAAGAATATTTAAAATAGGAAAACGCCGAATGTTGAAATTTATTATATTTATAGTAAGTATTACGCAATTTTATTACCCAGTATTAACTATACGTATATTTAAATTAATTATAATAATAATAAATAATATTAGAATTAGTAGAAATTATAAGGAGAGGACGAAAGAAATTAATAGAATTAGGAATAAATATAGGAGTAGAAATAGAAATAAAAGTAGGAAGAGAAGAGGGAGAAGATAAGTAAGGACGTAGTACTTAAGGGCGCTAATATTATATTATTAATTTTAAAATTTCTAAACTTTTTAATCGCTTTATATACGCTATTACTTCAGTTAATGTATTAATACCGTTTACTAATAAAACGCCGCTATATAATTAGGGACGTAGGTGGTTAATTTATTATAAGACGCGCGAATATTCCGATTATTCGTAAAATATATTGAACTTTTCGGTATAGAAATAGTTATAAAATATACGAACGGTTTCGGTAGCGCTTTATTATATACGTTTAAAATTAGTAAGGGTAGAACGTTCAATAGTTTAAATATTACCGTTATATTCCTTCTTTAAAAAGGTACGTAGGTCTTTCTAAATAGGAATATTACGGATAGGGTTATAATTAATCTTCTTCTTAAAGGTTATAATATATTTAATTTATATATTTTTAAAATTACCTTCGATATAATTAATAGCGAAAAAAAGGGTATCCGGGGGTATTCGAAATAATAATCGTTAATATTGAAAATAAAGTTACATACTTGGGAAGAGTTCTCGCTAATAAATTTAAAAATATTAAATTTGGGGAAATATTTAAATAAAGTAATAAATTAAATCGGTGTAATAGATATAGGAATAATAGGCGCCGCAATTTAAGGAGTAATAATAGGAATAAGGAGGGTCGAAAAGTGCGTTTAATTATAAAAGAAATAATTTTAGTAGTGGAATCTGAAAGGAATAGGAGGGTAATTATCAAATTAATTTTGCTTTAATAGGTCTACGAAATTATTCTAATTATAAAGAAATACATATAATAGGAATTAAATTAAAAGTAATTTAATAACCGCTATATAAGATTTAAAGAATCTTTATTTCTATATTATAATATTATTCTCTAAATAGTAGAAGGGATTATACGAAATGTACGAAGGGGTAAAAGAGCGGTCGCTATCCGAATTATCGTTATTTATTTTTTCGACGGTCGGCTAATAATATTAGAACGAAGGAGGATGTTATTATTAAAGGCTATCGTTGGCTACGGTAAGAAGGGTAATAAATAATTTTTACGTACTAGAAATAGAGGGAAGGGTTTTTTTAGCAGTCTAAAAAACGGATTATCCGCTATATATTTATATCCTATTGGTAATCGTTCAATTCCCGTAGGAAGAACCATTAATATATTAGGATCGTAGAAAAAAGTAGGTTAAAATATTTATAAATAGCGTAAATATATAGGGGACGTTAAGGTAAGGGGAGGATTAAAAATATATTAATAATTAACCCCGATGATTTTAGAGGCGAGTTCGACCGGCTATTTATATTATTGTAAATTCTATCCTATAGTAGCTAAATCCGCGACGGCTCCGAACCGTTCCGACACTATACTACGGCGCTGTGCTGTGCGGATATCGGCGCTCCTCGGTACTGGCACGGGTCCAACGCCTAACAAGTCCCTGGCAACCTAACACTTCGCTATCCTTTCGATCTTTATTTATTACGTAAATATCTAGCGTATACTTAGAAACGACTTTCTTTGTTTTTTTAAAGTCTATAGTAATTATAACGGCGAGAATATCGCGGCGTCGATTTTCTATATTTTCGAAAAGTTCGAAATCCTAATTAATAATATCGGTTACTTCTAATATAATAACGTCGATTCTAACGATCGTTATATCTACTACGTTCTAAGGTTTATTCCCCTCATTCAATTATAAGAAGTTTAAATTTAAATTACTTTATCGCCGCCTTTACTACTTCGGTTACGTTTTAAACTTCGGTGCTAAAGCCGCTATTAAAAGAGGGGGTATTCGAATACCCGAATTTACTAATCTATTTGCCCGCTTATCTATAGCTAATAAAGATATTATTCTCTAGGAGTAGCGTAAGGAGGGGCCGGTTGGTCGGTTTTATAACGTTATTTAATTTATCCGTCGAAGCCTACAAAGGCGCGCAAAATTCTTAGAAATTATATAATTAGGCTGTAATGATACTATTATTAACTAAAACTTTAATCTCTTAATACGTAAAGCGATAGAGGAGGACAAAGTTTTATTAGTAATTACTATAATTTTTAATAATACAACCCGTTAGAATTTGGACTATTGAATAATCCGCTGCGCTTAGAAGCTTCATCAGTTTATTAATTACTATATTACTAAGACTATAAATTGCATTAATATTTCGAAGCGACTCCCTAAAGAGGACCGGTTTAATAATAATAATTAAGGTATTCTAGTAGCTATTATAAATATAATAAAACCTTTTAAAGACTTTACTAAGAAGTACGAAAAGAAGGGTCCCTTTTTTTTAATAGTTATACTTAATTTTTATTATTTAATTAATAAGTTCGAGATTAAGTGCGTATAATATAGAGGTAATATTACCTTCGAATTGTTTAAGGGTTTAGAAATCCTAAACTTAAATATTATTATGATTACCCCTTAATTACGCAATAAGCCTACCCTTACCCGTATTACTTCCTTTTAAGCCGCTTCCTCCTAAACAGCCTCCTTCTAATTATAAGAGTAGTATAATCTTATTAATTACGCTAACGATATAATTAATAAGGGTATTAAAGCCGTTAATCTAATATTAAATAAAGTTATTACGAAGTTTAAAAAATATTGAAATTTAATAGAAGATTATTTTGTATACTAAATAGTGTATATCTTCTACCCTAATTACTATAGTAAATAAGTATATTATAAATTCACTTAATATAATTATAATAAATTATTAAAAACTTCTAATTAATTTACAAAAAGAATTACGCTAACTAATTTATCGCTAACCCGCTAATTAATATTAGTAATTAATAAGTAAAGAGAATAAAGGAGGATTGGCTAGTTAACTCTAATTTTTATAATACCCTCCTCTTATAATTAAAGAAGGAGAATAAGTTAGAGCGCTACCTTAACGACGATATTTACGCTATTGATAATATACTAGGGTAGTTGAAGGCTAACGAATTTACTTACCCGCGACTTGCTTATATAATATTTGACTTCTATTCTATCTCCTCTATAGTAAACGATTGTAAGTGCTCTTTTAGCAGTGCTAAATTGATTATCGATAGCTAAAGGAATAGTCTTTATGTGGAGACTATTAATACTATCGAAAGCTTAAAATTTTGGCTAGTACTAGAACTAGGGTTTAATAAGGATGAAGAGTAAAGTATATATACGATTCCATAACTATCCTTATAGAGGGATTGCCAGTTGTAGGGAGGTTAAGGGAGATTTAGGGAGCTAGAAATCGTAAGAATCGAAGCACTTTTGAGCCCAAAACACCAGAAATCGTGATATTTCTAGTCAACTTACGTGACTCAACTCGACTCAACTCAACTCGACTCAACTCGAAATATCGAATTAACCCACTCAACTAACTCGAACCCTCGAGTTGAGTCGAGTTGAGTTATTTCTAGCGCTGGTAGATCTGAAGTGGGTGCGGGTAGTGTTACTCTTTTTAACCACTACGTTTCGTAAAACCTCAACGACCGTCGCCTCTTCCCCTCCGCCTCCTCCACCTGTGCCTCTCGAGCCCTCTTCTCCCAGTACTTACCCAGCTCCTCGTCCTCGTCGTCGTCATCGTTGTCGGCCACCCGGCCGGCCATGGCGGCAATCGGGACTATGTCTTCGCCGAGGACGGGGGAGGAGACGCTGTGACAGAGGGAGCCGTCTTCGTTGATCTCGTTGGCAACGTCGATTGCACCCTCTGCGGAAATTGAGCTGCTGGCGGCATCATCGTGGTCTTGATCCGGACTGTGGTTGGAGCGGATGCTCTCATTCCAGGTATGCACCAAATCAACATCGTCATCCATCTCTTCGTCTTCCACCTCTTGGTCACTCATCTCTTCGTTGTCTTCTGTTTCTTCCTCGTCTTCCGTATCTTTATCGCCTTCCACATTTTGATCCTCTTCCACCTCTTCGTCGCCATCCATCTCTTGGTGATCCTCCATCTCTGCGTCGTCTTCCATCTCCTCGTCTTCTCCCATTTCCACGTCGTCTTCGGAGTCGTGGATACCGCTCCATTCACTGGTATCGCTCCGGCTGTCGGACTCCTCATCGGTCTGACTGCTATCCGGGCTGCCATCCGAATCCCTGTTGTTGGCAAGCGTACCATCCGCCGAGTCGTCGTTGCCTTCGTCGACATTGTCGTTGAGTCCATCATCCGAGTCGCTGTGCTCAGAGTCGACATTCTCAGAGTTTCCATTATCAGACCCGACATCCTCCTCAGGCGCCATCAATCTCTCCATCTCCCGCAGCCTTGATACCAAAGGCGTCAGTGTGGTATCTACAATCTGACGAATGGTGTTGACGACCCGTTGATCGCCGCGAAGCCGCTTGACTTCAGTCATCCAAACAAGATCCCTGTACATCTTGTCGAACCCGCCCGCGAGCAGGGTAGAAACACTGCGCTCGCGAATCTCCTCCTCGGAATGGGGATCAACTTCTCCATTTCCAGGGGCAACCTCTTCCATTGACGACGTGACCGTTTCGTCTGCCGCGGTAATGACCTCTTTCAGAGTCTGCTCGATTCCGATAACGTCGTGAAGGAGTGGCATAAGCTGGGCTGTTAACTTCTGGGCTTGCCACTGTGGGTGATCGGGTCTCAATCTGCTCTGTGTTCTCGAACTACGAGTGCTGAGTTCGCGAAACACTTGTCTTTCGTCGTTCCTGACACTGGCTGCGGCATCAGGAGAGGCTTGCCCTTCGCTGTCCTTGGGACTTTCTGTGGCTTCAGGAGACACTTGTCTTTCGCCGCCGTCGTCGGCAGTGGCACTGGCACTACCAGTGACATCAGGCGAAACCTCGCTTCCACCTCCAACAATGTCTCGAATGTTCTTGTTCCACTGTTTCTTGACCTCGCGTTTGGAAGCAGACTCTACCCCTCCCCGGAAGATGGGCAAGTAGAAGCAGCTTTCCTGGTCCATGATCTGCGGGGTACACAGCCCATCCTCATCCTGCTGGTCGACAAGACCGTAGAACTTCATCTGGCCGTCCAGACCGCTGATAGGAGTGACGACCATGATCAGTCTGTTGTCGTCATGGACGGCTATCGTACGATCTGGCGCGACAACGGTACCAACAGCCGTGCCGAGTTTCTTACTCGCGCTTTTCTTGGCGGCGTCGGGGAGGTCGGCGACGGTAAAACCGACGAGCAAGACTTCCTCCGCCCCTGTCGTCGGGTCGTTATGAGTTTGCAACTCTTGGTCGGTGAACTGCAGGTCTCGCCTAATCCGGAGATTTCGGTCGGATATCGCCTTGATCGAGGGCCGAGATGAGGGGGCTCTGGTCATCAATTTGATAACTTCGTAGCCATCTACGTGTTGAGGGATTGCGACGGCCCAACCGTAGAAGTTGAACGCCATGTTGTGGACCTGCTGTCCGCTGGGGGTAGCCATGGTTGCTGTCTGTCTGTGTGGAGGTCGTCGTGCTTGTTGTACATAAAGCGGCAATTGGGATCGATGCTAGAAGTCTCATTCATGCAGTTGGTTGTTTGGGACAAATGGAATTTCTCGTGCGCTTCATGGGAGAAGTGGAAAGAGCTAGAAAAAGAAGAGGAAGCCTGGAAAGTCAACAGAAGGACGGCAACAAGTGGGCCCGATACGCAGTGAAGGGGAAGCGCGGCCGGAGTGAAGGGCGCAAAGCGGAAGGCACGACCCTCTCCTCATCCACCCCGTCTAAAACAGCTTGTCATAGACTCATTGCGAATTTGCGCAGTCGAGCGAGGCGTGGGGCATCAAACTGACAGTGTTGCCAGTGTGACTGGCAGACGGATACGAGCTGAATCATCGATGTATACGAGCCAACTACAACAAACTAAAGAACAAACCATAGCAACAAAGCAAAGTAAAGTCGCGGGCAAGACGGGCAAAATTTTGCTCAATGTCTGTCATTTTCACATGAGGGATAGCTCGCTCAAAGGTCAATCAGACTCAAAGGCTCAAAACTGCGATTCCCACAGTCTCGTTTGTATCTATTATTCCGTCTCATATGGTAGTCTAGAAACAAACAGGACAAGTCGTCCGGCCCAGACACTGACCCAGGATCAAGCAGCTGATCTGACACAGCGAGTGCCCGATTGTATCAACATCGAACGATATCTATTTATGGATCCCTCCTTCCTCACTCGCACCTCTTCTCTTCGATTCTCAGTTAACTGTCGCCTTTCCCACTTCGTCCAGCCATTCCTCCAACTATCCATTAACAAAATCATCTCTTATCAATAATAAAACAGTACTGAGCTACTAAGGCTCATTCGCACTCCCAAAACACTGCCTCCAGGGGTAAAGAGAATCGTTCTCACGGCTAGATAGCCAAGATGGCGTCAGTAAACCCCAAGCATCATCCATCCGCATTAGACTCCCTTCTGACAATCAGGCAGACCACACATCGTCTGATCTGATAGTCAGGTTTGACGACGGAAAAAAGAGATGGATGTGACAGATTACTGCCGAGACTGAGCCGGAGACGCAGCAGCCGTGATTGACTTGACAACGGGGCCTGTCTCGGTGACGGAGTTTACCTGGGCGCCAGCGTGATTTGACGGCTTTGGTTGGATGGGACGGTGCGCCAGATCAGGTCGCGGAACAAACTCGAGATACTTCCGCCTGATGGCAGCCCTCCTTCTCATGTTTGGGACCACTGCATTGGCGTACTTGTTGACGAACTGTGCCTCTGGCTGCCCTCCGAGGCCGTCTTTTGTAGCGCGACTCAGACGGGCATATTGATCGTATACGGAGTGGTCGACGTATAGAGGTACGCCGCCGCGCACAGCTACACTGGTCATAGTCTCCAACACGGTACGTAAATCCTCCTCGGTCACCGAATACGGTCCTGTGTTCCGTATGCCTTGACTATGATCGTCGACGTTATACAACTCCTCAAGACATTTTGTCGTACGAGACTGGTAAAAGAAACAAAGGGCTGATAAAGGAGGCGTGAGAGGGTTGAGAGAGATAAGCGGCTGGGCTTTGGATACGAGCAATTGATCAGTGAAAGTAACGCGGCAGGTAGCGAGGTTGAACTTAACACGACTTATTACCTTAAGAAGGAATTAGTCCATAGGGCCCTGTGAAAGCGGTTAGTAAGACGGTGAGTGATTATCAAACAGAAGAGGGAAACTTACCCATCACCGGGGGGAAAAACAATGAGAAACGCAGTCTGCAAGCAGCTATCCAGCGTAATAAAGCTAATATCCAAGCCCGTCTGGTCATCTGCATGGAACCTCTTCGCAGTGCCAGATGCAAACAAAGAATCTCCCACCATTGAGGAGGAACTAAAGCAGTTCCCGACCCACATCCTCGGCACCCCGAATAGATGGGCCGTCCATCTCATTATATTAGAGAAGCCGAACCACCGTCGCGGGCTCTACATCGGGTCATCCACGAACGGCGATGGTGTTGTAGTCCGCTTATGGGCTGGTGACAAGCTGAAATAGGGTGCCCATCTCCTCTAAAAAGATGATTCAAATGGTCCTGGAACCTAAAAGCAAGGGAGAGTTCAACGTCCTGATACCAGAGAATGTCAAAAAAAAAATGTCAAAGAGGGGATGCGCACCTCTGCAGGCATTGCCTGTCAATCTATTCTGCTTAGTATCCAATCACAATTGACCGTATTGACGAAAGGGGCAGTTGGAGCGTGCACTTGGACATGGTACCCTGGTACCCCACCCCCAAGTTCATCCTATCCTCCATTTCCTTTACTTGTACATGTATTTCCTCCCAGACATTAAACCATTTTCTCCAGATGTTAGACGATATCGTCTAGATATTGGTCATTCCATCTTGGATATTGGCGATTCTGCCTTATTCAACGAGGCGCTTCAGTCTTGGCTAGTTCCGACGACAGGGTGCTGTTTTCACTCTGTTCCTCCGAGCTTCCGTGTTGTCAGTTCAAGCTGCTTTGTGACCTCAACGAGCTTAATGCTAAGACGGCCACGGTTCAACAGGTTGATCGTAGGGACTTCGTTGTCCACAGATATAACCATACTTTTGAAGCGCAAGTCGAAAACAAGTCAAATCAACTCTCGGGTTTGATTTGTCTAACAGGACAGGAACAGAATCACCATGTGCCATAAACAAGCCAACCAAATGCAATATTTACTATCATTGACTACCTTTATCCAAACCCCTCATAGCATATCTCGTCACAGAAGCAGCACTTGCTACACACACCCTGCTGATCTAAACGATGGAGCCGGTTTGGAAGAACGGGTTGTTAGGATCATAGGGGAACTTCCTCACCACGATATCACCGGTGTAGCCCCACAGATCCGCCTCGACCGGCTCGAACACCAGCTTGCAGGTTCCCTTGTAATCCTCGGCCTTGGTCTTTTGTCCAAACGTCTCGACCTCGGTGGCCTTGCCATCCGAGTAGTTGATGCGGACCTGGTTGACCGTCTTGCGACTCTCGTCTCCCTCAAAGTAGTTGCTGGGCATGAACTGCACACCAGCGTGCGCCGTGGTCATGACCGTGTTGGGCAGATCGCCCGTGTGGGGGAGGTGGTGCATACCCAGGTTGAGCCACAGGACGAGATCCTCTTGACGGAGGCTCTCGCCATCGAAGAACTTGGAAAAGTCAATGGGTGGGTCGTGCACGTCCTGGCTGTTGTAAGGGTGCGCCGCCCTGGGCTCAGTATCCTTGTGCTTGGTGATCTGGATGTCGTACTCAGCCCAGCGGCCAGCGTTGGCGAGGTTGGTAGAGTTGAGCACGGTCAAGTGGGCAGTGCCTGTAGATGGGAGAACACGGTAACCCCGGAACTCGCCGTGCTTGTTCCTGACGTCCTCGTTGACAACGATGACTTGCGTGGCTTGGTTGGGAGCCCAGTTGAACCGGCCTTCGTCCTCGCTTTCGACAAACGACCTCTCCAAGTGCATGGTATTCCTGGCCTTACCCTTAGACCATGGGTATGTAACGGTAGTGGGCGCCATGGTCACCAGCTCCACGGAGTTGTTTGTGCCGAGGATGTCAAAATCAGCCTTAAAGTTAAGCACGTGGTCGTGCATGCTGCCAGAAAGGTTGTCATGGATCTTGAAGCCATAGTCCTCGTTGCCGGCGAAGTAGGCGGACTGGATGTAACCCGAGGCGCGGACCTCGACCGAGATGGAGCCGTCAAGGAAGAACTAGTAGCTGAAGGAGTAGTCGTAGTTGCCGACGGTAGAGACGAAGCGAACAACGAAGTACGTGTTCTTGGTCACCGACGTGTAACGGTTGGTGGTGTGACGCTGGATCGGGTAATCAGAGACGTATTCAAACATGCAGATGCTGTTGATGTGCGTGTGGGTGGTCTCCGAGATGTAGAAGGAGGAGTTAAGGTAGGTGGCGTGCGTGGGGCAGTCGTAGCCCTGGACGAGCTCGAAGGCGTAGGGGCCAAAGCCGTAGAAGGTGTCGAGGTAGGAAACGCCAGAGTTCAACGGGTCGTTACCTGGTCAAGTCAGTTACGAGCTCAGGCATATCTCTCGCGAACATGTGCGAAAACCTACCAGCATAGTGAGCCAATGCCTCCTGCAGACCAAGCTCGTACAGAATCCTTTGACCCTTGTAGCGAATGTCGTACAGAGCCATGCCAGTATCTCTGGTAAATCCAATGTAAAAGCTAAAATCCATCCACTCGACGTACTTTTGCTCATGATCGACGCCGTATCTCGCACCAGCTGGAGCAACGATGGTCGGGGGGTAGTCGTAATCCAGAGGAGGAACATCTCCGTTCTGGTCAGTGTCCGCCCAGGCACCGGGGAGATTGGGGCCGTTCTTCTTGAAGCAAGAGCTCCAGTACGCCTCACGGAACTCTTCGGTGGTTGCATAGAAGGTGCCGTTGTAGAGCCACCCCTCGAGCGACCACTTGCTAGGGTCACGGCCGGTGATGTCGGACATGAAGTACAGGCCCAGGGGCAGCAGGGTTTCAGCATCGAAAACATCGTCAGCTGGAGGGAGGGTCCAGAAGCCGTCCCAACGGATGATCCTGCCATCATCCTGCCACAAGGGATCAATACCCCAGACGTCTAGGGTGTCGTTCTCCAGACCATGGCCGTGCCGTTCCATAGGTCGAGAGTGATGTCGGCAATAGAGGCGCTAATCTTCCAGATCCATTCTTCGTATATAATGTCATCGTCCGCATCGAGGTTACGGACCTTTCCATCACCGCTGGGCTTGTTGTAAGGAAAAGTAAGGGGCTCCCATGAAACGGTTGCATTGTCGAGAGGGAGAGGACCGACGAGGATGTCGGCGTAGTAAGGGTTTTCGGTTGCGCGGTTGTTCAAGAGGACGTGGGCGTACGTGGTAGGAGCAGGCGCATCGCCATCAATGAAGGCAAGGGCATCGGTCTTGTTTGGCCACATGGCCTCGACAAGTTGGCTAGTGGTATAACTGTTAGAATTTACACAGAGCCCCTGCCGAGTGTCTCAGACTCACATGGTGTTATCCCAAGGTCCAGCCTTCTCGGTGACAGTCAGGTTGAATTCTTCCTGCGCGAAGAGCCACTCTATCACCGATGAAATCTCTTCGCCTGTCAGCGGTCCCCAGACGTTGGGCTTGGGAGCAATGATGCTCTTTGCTAGGACATCGGCGCAAGGGACCTCTTCGGCTCGTCGAGTGTGGCTCTGACCCTCAATGGCGCGTTTGATGTGATTCGACATCTTCTTGCGAGCAGGGCCTTTTCGTACACAGTCGGCTTTGGGTTCGGGGCTAGGTCGAGCGACGACATCGTAGGCGAGGGAGCTCAGCACCAAGGCCGAGGCCATAATGGCTCGGGGGCTGAGAGTGTCGAGGAGACCCATTGTTGCCTGATGAGCACAACGTTGGGACAGAAAGTAGTGGTGTAGCAGTTGCTGATGTCTTCATGGCGAATCTGGGGGGGCGGCATCGCCAGCTTATATTTTCCCCAGACATGATCAACTGGTACCTTTAACCTTCTCGTGCTGCCGTTCCTGACCCTGGGAGAGATCCGTGAGACGTTCATTGGAGATTTCTGTATGTCATGGTCTTTCCAGCGCTGACCGATTTGTCTACCAATAATTTGATCAAGCTGAGAGTAAGATCCGATATGCATGGGGCCTGGATGTCTTATCGTAGGTCCGGAAGGATTAGCTGCTGTACCATAAGAGCTAGTGTCCGCGGTGTGGATGATGGACCTGCAGGACCCCAAGGTAGCATTGTCGTTCCCCCGATTGCTGTACTTCTATTCCCATTTCGGTTAAGAAGAGGCCGAAGTGGTCTGGGGTTGTTCGAGAAGCCATGATCGAGGTCAGCTCCACGCTGTTATCGCGAGCTTTCGAGTGTTGAAGTCGGTGTTGTTGGTAGAGAAGGAATACCGGCTCCGAGACCGTTGTCTTGAACTCTAAATGCCGTGACACGACGATACAACGCGAACTTTCCGAGACAAAAGAAGATGGCGAATCCGAGTTTGACTCTGCGATGCTGGGAGAAGCGGTAATATCGGATCGCAGGGTGAGATTGTTTGTCCCACGTTGCGCAGTCCCGAGTTCCCAAATTCCCCCGCGTTCGGAGAAGCCCGAGATGCCGGCCGGGGTGGCTTATCGTCCACTGATAACTCGCCCGGTTGTAGTGACCGCTTGAGCCGGTGGTGGTGTGGTTCGCCGAGCTGCGTCGCCGAGCTGCAGTGAGGGAGCGTGCCTGCCGCTCCACGTTCCGTGATAGTGCGGGGTCAATGTGCCAAGCCCAGGCCCCCATTCGGTCTCTCCTTCTGTATCTGAGCGCCGAGTAAGACTTCAGGTCTCGTCATCGACGACGAACAACAACAAAAACATCATCTACTTGATCCTCCATTGTTGAAGCTGCCCGAGCACAATATGAGCGCCCTGGCGATTCCGTGTTCATGGTCCAAATCGATTTCATGACAACGCGAAGAGGAGGATGCTGCGGCATTGACAAGGTCTGCCTCCGATCCCGTCCGCAGACGCCAACCTTACTGTTCTTATCTCTGACTGCTGGAGTGCTGCTCTGATCGCGCTCTTCTTTACTGATAACGGCTCGGTGAGCGACAGATATTTCCTTCCATTTCCTTTCACAGCCTACATCTGAGCTCTACCTGAATAGTTAGACAGTACTTTAACCTCGGCGACCAACAGGTCTGGTGCAGTGGGATGGGGACCCCTCACTGCCTATCTCCTTATCAGCCACCAACACCGGCGTGGAGGTTAGTGGACTACTTCCACCGATCAGGCCAAGCTTTACCTGGTTGTTGTTTGCAATACATACAGCACGTGGAAAATATCTGGTATCAAGCGTTTATCAAGTGCTGTGATGTAAGTGAGAGGATTCAATTCCCAATCAAGTTCTTTCTTCCTGCCCGTTTCTTGCGGGGAGTGGCCAGCCCCCGCCCAAGACCCCAGACGATGCAGCTATCTTCGCCTGTAGTGTAAGTGACATGCCAAAACCCTAACCCTCATATGTCCAACTTGGAGCCCAACCACCAAAGACCACAACTCTCCCCTCCGTATTCAGGCCATACTGACGCCGTCTTGAGTCTCTGAATAGGAGGCAAATATCCTCTATTCATGATCCTTTCCGAATGATCCTTCCTTTTCCATTAGAACCTCCCCCAAGGCACCTCCAGCGCGCCGTCCTCCATGCCCGTAACGACCTGAATCCGCTTCGAGTCCGCAAACCGAAAGTACACCGTCCAGGACTTCCTAACGCCCGGCCAAGTATCCTTCTTCCAAAACGCGTTCGTCATGCGGATCTGGCCCCTCCTCCCCTCGAAGAACTTGACCAGTTCCTGCAACACCGACGGCGTCTCGATGCGTTCCGGTCCGTACAACGCCGCCAGGATCTCCACCGAGCCGTTGTAGGGAAGTCCCGTCCGCCACGGCCGGTGGATGGTTTGTACAAAATCTGACGTTTCTTCTGCGGCTTCTTGCTCTGTCGATTCGGTGTGCTTGTCGGCCCTGATACTGAGGACGGCGGTATGCTCGGGGAGGTTGAGTAGGTGCACTCCCCCGTTGTTGTTCAACCCCACGAATTGGTAGAGCACTGTCAAGGTTTTGACGGTTCCGTAAGCTGGATCGGGCGTCAACACGTTGTAGAGATTGTACATGTCGAAGATGATGCTGTCGTCGGATGCCACCATCGCCCGGATATCGTCTGTAACACTAACGCCACCCCAGGTGGCGCCGATGATAACCAGCTGAGGCGGCTGGTTGGGGAGATGGGGGAACATGTTGTCGTGATGTTCTACTTCTTGGTAGGCTGGGCTGGAGTCAGCATCACTGCTGCCCATATAGGTATCGGTCTTTGGGTATTCGGAACCTTGGCCCTTGCCGTCGCTGCTAATGTTCTCCCAGTCGTTGAGCATCGTCATGGTTGGCGTCAGAGAGGATGTTGGTGGTATCTGGGAGGAGCTGATCAAAGCACCGCGTGGACGGTTTACAGAGAACCGTAATATATAGAAAGCGATGAACAGTTCTCCAATGCAGACGAGTAAGAATATCAAGTCAAGTGCCTTCTGGGCTTGTTGGCGGCCAGACAGCGGTGGCCTCTGGGCCGGTGCTGCTCTTGGGCGGACATGTTTGGACATGGTCGTGGCAAGGGTCTTCGTCAATGTTACACTGGTTGCTGATTGGTGTTGGGGTGATTTCCTCTTTCTGCTTCGTTGGACACTGGCGAATGATGGTCAACGGTTGCCTAGTTTCCCGCCCAAGGAGGACTCGAGACAGAGAAAATTCACGGGGTGTGTATGTGCCCGTCAATAATCCAAGCTCCAGGATTGGTGCCCGCCCAGGTCGACATATGCAGTCGGCAGTCAGTAGTCAGGCAGACATGAGGACGGAATCCGTCAGTCTGCTCGAAAATACGAAGTGTATGCAGGTTACGAACAGGTTATTAAGGCTCTCGAGTCCCTGGACAATTCTGTCCTACAAGACCGCTGTTGACCAAGTTTGCTGATAGGGGACGGACGTTTTTGCCCATTTATTTCTGCTCCCGTATCCATGGGATGAATCTAATGGCCTCAAATATTCTCAACTGGCAACGCGGCAGAATCTTCGAAAGGCTTCTCTGGCACGCTCTCGACAAGTTTCATACGTCCAACTTAATGGCTCGCGGGCCTAATTATCTGGCGGAGTCTTCAATACCAAGACCTCAATTCCATGTCCTCCCCTAAGGTATCCAATGCCGACTCAGTCTCCTCTATCTTCATCACTTACTGTGTCTGCTTAGAATCTCTGCGCATACTCAAGTGGCTCGGGGCTAGAACGCGTACCACCTCGAATCTTCGGTGCCATGTCCATCGACGGATGTTCCGCCAAGTTGCGATATCACACGGGTATTCCCTGTCGATGATACAACGTCCCCGAGTAAACTGGCATGATGACAAGCGAACAAACCTACAGCGATGTTCTTTCAACACCATCCGGACGGAGCTACAGAATATTGTGGTACCTGTGACAACGGATACCAAGGGACCCAGCTACCAGAACCGACAAAGGACCGCACAATAACTGGAGGATGGTAGCAAACGTGTCTGTGATACAGCTAACGCGGCCACGACTTTTTGACAGCTCGTGTATCGTTTCACCCATCATGTGCCGGTTACACTCTCCGCCTTCGTGGTCTTATGCCCTGAAGTATCGAAATAGGAGCATATATGGGTAGGTATTAGATGTGGGCTGTGTCCAGCCAAAGATGCTCGGAACCGTTTACTCGAGCTTCGCCGGTTACCAGTCAGAGTTGGGCTCACATTTAGCTTCAACGTCTACAGGATAGCCCCGACCTATTAGTACCATCACTTCTGCAAGACTTCGAGATGGTTCTGCAATCGCTCAGCACAGCCCTCTTCCCCCTAGTCCTCCTCTCGGGGGTCTCTCTAGGACTGGCAGGACCACCCAGACATAAGCATGAAATCCGGGACGTCCCCAGCGCCCTAACCAGCACTCAAACCGAGGACGAAACCACACAATACTACTACTTCACCGAGTCATACACCTCGCTCCCACCATTCTGGCCACCACGACCAACACCACACAGCAGTGACAGCACAACGTCTACAACAACGACATCATCACCAGAATACCCTTACTACTCAGATTCCGACACCACCACGTCCTCCTCGAACTTCACCACACCCACTACCACCTGGAACTTCACCACTCCCTACACCACCACCTGGACCAGCTACTCCGACACCTGGGGCGACCATAACACCTACCCAACGCCCAGCAGTGCAGCCACAGATGATGAAACCACGACCATCTCCGTAATCAAGACCCTCACTTCCTTTACCACCACCGTGGTGTCCAAGACCGTCAACAAGCCATCGTCTACAAAGCCATCCAGAACATCATCATCCAAGTCGTTCACATTCAAGACGACACCGTTTGCAAACTTGACGACGTTTACCTCCCCTAAATGGACGACTGTTCCCGTTGCCTCGCTGACGGGTACTCCTTTCTGTTCGAATGCGGCGGACCCGGATAGTGGGGTGGGAAATCATTGCGTGTGTGGGAATGGGGAGACTGTGGGGGTGATTCCGTTTAGTAGGGGGGGTAATGCTAGTGATTATCAGCCTTGTGCTTATACTACTGTTGGGTAGGGGGGGGAGGAAAGGGGGTGGTGTTGAGGGGGATAAGTGGGACACTGGAGGGAGGAATGACAAACCCGGGATTATGTATGGTAGGTTTGAGTCAAGCATTCAACAAGGTCCGCTGGCTCAATGGCAGAGCGTCTGACTACGAATCAGGAGGTTCCAGGTTCGACCCCTGGGTGGATCGAGTTATCTTTTCTTTTGATCTTTTTTTCTTCCACCTTTGTTGCTTAAACTTTTACTCACTGATGCCAATCTTGAGACCATCATTTTTTTGCTTGAACTTGCAGCAGAGCATATGATCATGACTGCAATTCCCAACGTCGTGCACAGGAGCAGCCGTCATCTCCAAACCCGCTTTTTAGGCGCTGTCATCGGACATGCACCTAAATCGGACACTCTGATTCGGTAAAGGAAACATTCGTTCAATTTCAGCCTCCTTTGCACTTCACATCTTCCTTCCCAAATTCTCAACTTCATCCCATTCAATCCTCCTTCAACATCTCCACCCCCGAATCCCTCCTCTTCAGCGTCCCGGTCTCCACAACTTTCCCCTCATCCACCCCCTCCTTCCCCATCTTCCCCTCCCTCATCCTCCTTCCTCATCCTCCTCTCCCTCTACTCCCTCCTCCTCCTCCTACTCCTCAAATCCGTCCCATGCAGCTTATCCATCAACCCCGGAATCGCTCCAAACTCCACATTAAACAGCTCATGATGGGCATCATGATCCCTCGCCATCTCCAGCAGTCCCAACAATTCAAAATCATAACCCGTCCGGAGCAGTGGATTTGATCATCGCATCAAAGTCAGTAGCCAGAAAGGTGGGCACTTTGCCGTGGCCCAGAACCTCGAGCCGGCTGTTGGCGTAGTCCATCCTGACGTGATTCGTGTCGCATAGCCCGACGATGCACGAGGTTGAGCTGTAATCAGTTGCAATGGCATTGTAGAATAAGTCGGCTCGGCCACCAGTGCCGACGATGGCGTACCGTTTTCTTCCCATGCCACCTTTGACAAGGGACTGGGATGCTTCGCTCATCTTGAGGGTGGCTGTTCAGATCCAGCCAACTGGGAGGAAGTCGAGTTGTGAGAGAGCTCTACCGCGGAGTGCTGCGGGCCAGCCAGGAGAATGTCAGTTGTGTGAAGCAAAAGGCACGAGGCGTGGAACGTTAAGAGGAAAAGAAAATCGAACAGCACCCAGTGTCAAGATGGATGTCTATCATGTTCCTCGGTTCCGGCTCGCCCCGTGCCCCTCGGTCATAGATAACCCAGATCCCGAACATTAGGCTGAAGAGGACGAATGCATCGACACAGGTGCCGGCTTGATGGGAATAATGGTGGTATGCACCTCAACATCACTGCATCCTTCAACCCCCAAAAACGTGGGGAAGTGCGGAGAGAGCAAGATCATGGCATGGGATTGGGTTGGTTAAACACAGGGCAACATGGTCTAGAAAATTGACATATCACGACCAAGGTAAATGGTGTAGATGAAGGGAAGGCAGGTAAACAACCTACCCTGCAAAGACATCCAAACTCTACAGCCAGTTGAAGTAGAGGACGCTTTTCTTTGGGTGTTCCGTCATGAGATGAGGTGGCTGGGCTTTGATGCCTCCGTGGTTCGTCCCAGACTCCTGGGAAATACCCAACCCTCTTGCCATACAAGTGGTGTGGTTCGGGGTAAAAGAAGGCGGTCGATGGCCCAGCACCCTTTATCTGAAAGGGCCGCCCTCCGGGGATCAGACGAGACATTGCCCGCTGGGCCCGTTATTAGGACGACGATCCAGCACTGGCCAAGATCCCACATTAACAACAAAACCTTGACCGAAGACAACCATGGCTGCAGACCAGGGGAAGGGACAGGACGATATCACTCTTGCGCCTGTCCATAACGAGCCCACCAAAGGATTGCCCGCGACAAGGCTACAGACTTCCTTGCGAACCATGCCGAAGGCGGGTCATCCTTCACTACCGAAGAGGAAAAGGCCGTTCTGCGCCGGATCGACCTTTGTGTTCTGCCCTTGCTCCTCGGGGCATACCCGACTTCAAGTCCTTGCTCGGGATGCGCTTCGTGCTCGGGTCGTTCGGAGCCATGATCGCGCCGAGCTGCGTTGCTGTCACGCAAATGTGGTGGCGCCGGAGCGAACAGACTCTGCGGACGAGTTACTGGAACGCCATGAACGGTGTGACTTTTATCGTGGGCAGCCTCTTCACCTACGGCCTGGGCCATATCCACAGCGACAAGATGTTCCGCTACCAGATTGTCTTGTTGTTCTGCGGCCTCTTGACAGTCGTGTATTCCGTTGTTGTTCTCATCTTCAGTGCCAGACTCGCCGATGGAGGCCAAGTATCTCAGAGAACGGGAGAAGGTTATTGCGGTCGGGCGGCTCAGAGCGAACCAGATGGGTGTCGCGTCAAGGACGTGGCGATGGGACCACGTGGTGGAAACGCTCTTCGACTTGAAGACATGGTGTTGGTTCATTGCTATCATTGCGATTTCGTAAGTGTTTTTTGTCCGTTTCGGTTACATGTTTAGATCAGCAAAAAAGACAGCAAACTGATGTTGGGATACAGCATCGCCAGCGGTGGCATTGGGACTTTTGGCAACCTCATCGTCAAGTCCTTTGGATACTCGAGTTTCGAGACCATCCTGTTCAACATTCCGTTCGGCGTGATCCAGGTCGTTGCCGTTGTCGGGACTGGCTGGTTAGCCACTAGGTTCCAGCGCAAGGGCTTGGTGATTGCTGGCGTCAGCGTCCTGCCCACGATCGGAACCATCCTGATGCTGACGGTGTCGCGAGAGCACAAGGGCGTCCTAAGGTGATACCAAAAAGAAGTGCACGTCGGCCATGGTGTTTATAGGAATGTGCACTGGCAACGTCATCGGGCCTCTGCTGTACTCGACCGGCCAGGCGCCTCTTTACCGACCCGGCCTGATTCCCTTCTACCTCATGTTCCTCAATCGCCGGCATGCTCAAAGGCGGGAGGAGCTGGGAAAGACGGCGGAGGTCGGGGGTGCCGATGCCCACCAGCAACGGTCGCTCGGGAAGGATAACGCGCTGCAGGACATGACGGATCTGCGGAACGAGTATTTTATCTTTGTGTATTGAGCTTGTTGGGACGGAATCTGCCTGTGGTGTTGTGGACAGTGGAAGTGGTTTTGAGGCGGGAGAGGACGACGGGGCTACTGGAGCGACCGGACGTGTCACGGACGTGATTTAGGTTATCAGAGGGCCACTCCCCATTGCGGGGGGCCATTCAGCACCTGCAGACCCCGCAGCGGGGATGACAGCTCCCGGGGCCCCGCCACTGCTGCAGGTCCGGGTGTCATTGCCGTGCTGTCCGCTGCGGAGACGGTCAATGTACAGGGGCATCTAACCAACAACAAATGTGTTGATGCTCTTCTCCGGCAACGGCTTCAAAACATTATTTACTCTACTCAAGAAGCAAATGGCCATTCGTAACTAAACTTTTAACTTGTGAGCTTGTGGTACCTTGAGGAATTGAAAAACAGTCATGTTTCACTCTATACGCTAGGGGATGTTGCAGTGTAACAACCCGCGATGACTCCTTCCCATGACTCCAATAACACAACAGGTACCAATTCTAGGCAACAGCGCCTCGACTGGAGGTGCCTTCCCGCATGGTGCTTTATAACGTGAAGCTTTCCACTTTCTTCGCATTCTTCGTGTTTCATCCTCTCTTCGTCATTTCTTTCATCCTTTGCACCTCCTAGTCGAATCATATCCTTCCCCCATACATTCCGTATTCCCTGCTTCCATCCAACAACCATGGGGACAAGGTTCAGGATCGTATGCAACCTCTGCCAGGCCATCATCCCACCAGTCGAGCAAGACCTCAACAATGACGACGGGCCAATTCCCAGGCTGGAATGGAATCAAGAGGCTAGGGCAGTGAGAACAGTCAGAGACACTTCCTCTCCCTTCCTCACTGGTGTTGGCTATTTGACTCGGTGGGGAGTGCTCCAGGCTAGTCACAATCCCGATGTTCCGTACGGAACAGACACAGGCCTCCTCAATCTGGGGGCCCGGAATGATGCCATCTTGGGCCAGTCTGGCAACGGTCAGGCTAACCACCCCAAGTACCTCACCTTCGTCTTCCACGATGCCTGCTGGCAGCTGTTCTTGGCTGGCATTCTGCCTGGTCTTCCAGACTCTGTCACAGCCTGCCGCACACCTCAAGAGCAGGTTGGACTTGTCGCCGAGGCTCTGTTCAGATATCTCTCGTGTATGCCACTCACCAAACTCAACCAGGTGGTAGTTCCGCATGATCTTCCCCCTTACCGCGCCGCCGATCTCGTTCTGCCCCGGGACTACGCTCCCACTGACCGGGCCATCATGATGGCAGATCCCTCTGACCTACCAACACTGGATGGCTCACCACAAGTGGTTGACCATCAGCATAACGACCACCTTTACACCATCAACCCCAACTTTCACTCCGCATCTTCAACAGATACTCCCTTTTCCACGCTCCCTGAAGAGTTGATTCACCAGATTCTGAATCTTCTCCCTTCCCCCGACGTCTGCAACCTTCGCCTAGCATCTAGGTCTGTTGCGAGCGTCTCGAGCCCTTTGCAGCTTCCCAGGTCCTTCTGGGCCAGTCGCTTCGAGTGTGGGAACGAGATGGGCTTCTTCTACCCTGGTCGTCCCTTCCCCGACACCAAACCACCTACAGACTATCGCCAACTCCATTCCACACTCAGGCTCGAGTTGAGCAAGGTGACTGAAGTCATGAACCTGAGAAACAGACGGAGGATTTGGCGCATGTTGCGAGAGATGTCCTGTTGCATTACTCTGGCAATTGAGCACATATGGTCGTCAACGAACGGTGACAGTGATACAGGTACTCCTTTCGTACAAATTCCCGAGGGCCACGTAGCCGGGAGATTGGTCTGTCCCCTGCCTCTCCGCGGTGGTCCTGTTACCAAGGCATTGGAACGTAGCGCTGGCACAACGATATTTGCTGGGCAAGCTGCCATATTCCCAGACCCTTCATTACAGGCGCCCATGTGCGTCGGTGTATCGTTTCTGAGAGTTGACCAACGTCCCTATGTCTGTGGCATCAGGGTTCTGTCTGCCAGGTCTGATCAGGCTTGTAGAGTGGGCGTCATTATCCAAGAAAGTGAAACTATCGTCGCCTTGAAAGCTGATGATGAGTTGTCTGGCTTCCGTGTGGCATGTCTTGCCAATGGTGTGGTTGGCTTGGGTCTTCTAGTTCGGCCTGTTTCTAACCCTGAGTGTGTCCCCATGCTTCACCCTTTCACAGTGGGTAATTTGGATACAAGCACAAGTGGCTTGGGTCTTGCAGACGTTACCCCTACTGGTGGAGGCCTTCCAACGGGCATCATTGCTGGGCTTGATGTAAGTACTTTATCTTCACTGTATGCCTTTTGGAGTCCCAGACTAACATTTACCGTTATAGGCTGCCTGCAGAATTGTCTCTCTTCAGTCGCTTGAGTGCCAGTCATCGGTTTGTAAGGAGGAAGAGGATATCTCCACTGGTCCCTTCGCGAAGAAGGCCACGCAACCACGTTCCCAGGCTGTGCTGTGGAGTCCGTCTATCCCTCAAAACGAACAAGATATCCTCACTCCCAAGACAAAGCCAGGTATCCACGGCTCAGTTGCTGTGCGAGAAGATCAAGGCTCAGACTTTGTCCTTAACATCCCCTTTGGCGGGGAAAGAGGGGAGAGACTGAAGACACTCAACAGAATAGTTGCTTACACAGATCCTTACTCGGCGTATGGGGCGTTCAAAGGCTTCGGCTTCCATTACGATGATGAGCCGGCTGGGGTATTCTACGGAACAAGAAAGGAGTACGATTCCTTTCCAATTGCGTTCCGTCAGTGCCTTCAGTCATCGTTTACCATCAACGGTAAAGGGGGCGAAGTAATCGACCACATAGAGCTATTTGGCTTGGTGTCGCAATGGTATAAGCTAGACGCTATAAAGGTTTGTGACCCGTGTTCTTCCATTTATGGATACCCTCAGCAGCTAACAAACCCAGTAGATTACCACGAATTTTGGAAGATGTGTCCACTTCAAGCATGAAGCGGAGGGGTTCCTAAATACGTTTACAACGTCTACAGCCAGCCCTGAATTGAGCATGCTTCACCCACCCGTCGGGTCAACGATCATCGGATTGTATGCAAACACACACATAAGTCACCAATCAGCAAATTATCGATCTTTGGACTAATGCTAACCATCTTCAAGCAACCCTCAGGTTCTGTGCAAGCCCTTGGGTTACGATGTGCTACCGAGACCCAAGTTGCCCGACATTCTACGGTTTGGGACGCGGCAGCGAGCCATTGGCTTTTGTCACCACCGCCAGTATACAAGTTTTACGACCCCAAGAACGCCGTAAGGGGGAAACTGGGGTTTGGCTATAGTAGCGGAGTCCGCCGGCTTTACAACATCCGCCGGATCCGGGTCTCATGTGGCTCAGTTTCTGGATCCCGACAGCCTCACGGCATTTCATCCACGAGCACCCGGGTCGTCTTACACGGGCACCCATCCCTATACGGGCACCCATATTTCAAGCCATGGCAAGTAATTTAGACGTAAACTAGCATTTACATCGTAAATTCCATCGTGTTACACATACATGAAAAAAATCACAGAGATGTTCAGTAACATAATTTTATATAGAGATTCGTATAGTACATAATGTTTTCAACATAGGATAGTTCTATGGCATTCATCTATATACTTCGAAAAACTATGCTATTGACTATGGCGAGTAATCTTGTGATACTTTATATAGTGTTTTGGCTAGGGGCGTATCTGGATCCTAGGGCGGCATTTTGAGGGTGTGCGTAATGCGCGTAGTGCTTTGAAGCTTCAGGAAAGTCAGCAACTGTTTTGGTGATTGATGCGATTAATATTTACGTACGTGCGGTCGATTCTAGCCTGTTCTGGTGATCAGAGGTGGTGTGGTTGTAAAGAAAGAAGGTTGTAAAGGTTAAAGTTCAAAATCACTGTCTAAAGATGGGGGTCGTGTATATGGGGCCTACTGGCTGACTGGGCTTGGCACTGTCTTGCACCGAAATGCTGTTGTACGATTACTGTCTGACTGTATCAAAGGGTTGAAAAAAATGACGTGCACGTTAAACCCTAACCCGATGGGTGCCCGTATAGGGATGGGTGCCCGTGTAAGACGACCCGGGTGCCCGTAGATGAAATGCCCACATCATTTCAGGTCTCTGCTTCGAGCTTACCGACACGGATGAGTCTGTGTACTTGGGACAATGGCTGAATGAAGTTGCGAGTTTTAATATTGAACAGGAATCTGGGCGGGTCGTTGGAATTACCACATGGAGACTTTTCGATCGAGATCGCACCTTGGTGGGAGCGAGCGGAGATCCATGGGTTGATCCCTTTTCCCATCGCTTCCGCACTGATCAACTATACACTGGCTTGAAGATTGAGACAGGTTCCGGGAAGGTCTTTGAGATCCCTCCAGACGACCCGGAGAAACTCGGGTATGAAAAGGTTCACTTCCGGGAGAACGCCTTCGAAGAATTTGTAAGTCATGACTCAAAGGAACATGTACCTCAAACACACTGGCTGACAGATGCAACAGGCGGGTCTGTATTGGAAATATACCTTCCACAACGATTACTTCACCCCGCTCTACAGGCAGAAGCACCGATATCTTTCAGGCCTCCGCAATCCCGATCGGACAGAGCAGATCTTTTGGCAGGAGGCGCAAGACTGGCAGACAGGGACATGTTATAATCTTTCGGCAATCCATGTTGTGTGGGGGCCTGCCGATCCTGTGGCAAGAATGTCCGGACTCATCTTCGAATATGGGGGCAGGAAGATTCGGAGACAGGTAGGATCGATGAGCCTCCCGGGCGTGACAAGGCAGTCACTCAAACTGGCCGAAGGAGAAGAGATCACAGGGGTACATGTCCTGAGGCCGGTAGGAACCGTACGTCACGAGGGATTCTTGTTTCAGGGACCGCCCAGGAGGGTCATCGATTACTCCTCGTTTTTCCATATTGAGGTAAGCAAGTCCACCATCTCTGTCATTCGGAAGTCAGTACAAGATGGTATGCTAATTTTCATGGGCAGTTCCACACAAGTTTAGGACAGAAAGCAGTGTTCAGTCGCCAGATGCCCCGAAATGAAGCAGGGGGCGAAGAACAGAGGGCTATCTGCCTTGGAATCTGCTGCCCTTACTTGTTCACGCGTGATTGCAGATACGATCTAACCAGGACTGCGCGGCCGTCGGACGCAAGCATCGTTGCGGCAGAAAAGGAGAAATATGGGGAGGACGGTGTGTCTTTTACGAATCATCAGCTCGTTGGCCTCGGCATAACTGTAGGAGACCACACGGGGTCAGGGAGTTATGCGACGATAGATGGCATCCAAACCGTGGTTGCGGGGTATGATCAGTGGATGAGGAATAAGTGATGAGTTCGGGGACCTTGGAGGCTGAAGGTATTACAGTTGGCTCCATTACTTCGGTCTCCTTTCGGATTCGTTTTCACTCTGTTCTGAGCGACCAACGACATGACTTGTCCATGAGCTGGCGATGCAGGTCATAACTTTCGTATCACACAAGAAAATGACTACTGTGACAAGCAAAACTCGAAATCTATTCTTTGGTATCTATCACCAACCGTCCCTCATGCACGATTACTAAACTATCTCCCAATTCCCATGTCGAACTCCGGCATTCAATGTTACCAGTTACCACCACCACAACTCCATCACCACTCCCAACCCACTCACCACCTAACCTTACCTCGAGCTTACCAACTTACCTACCAACTCTCCTCCAAAACCCTCCTCTCCCTCTCCAACCCCTCCACCTCCGCTTCCAACCTCTCAATCGCCCTCCCCAGCTCATCCACAACCCCCTGCCAATGACTAACCCCAACTAAACTCGTCGGCTCCTCAGCTCGATACCTTTTCGCCCTGCAAGCGTTGGAAGCCAAAGCTAGGAGATCGATATCCTGCGAGTCTGGTGAGGGGGTACGGGAGTTTGGGGCTGTGGTTGTGGTTGCCGCGTTGAGAATACTCACCATCAAATCCTGTTCCCGCTGGAGAGACTGCTTGATTTGGCTAAGGATTGTGAGGAGGGTGGTTAGTTGGTGGAGGCGGTGGGTGCTGATCTTGTTTTTGGGTTTAGCTTGGGGTTTGGGTTTGGGTTTGGTCCCCTCGCCCTCGGGGCCAGGGGCGGGAGCAGGGAGTGGGGGGAGGGATTTTGAAAGAGAAGCGGAAAGAGAAGAAGGAAAGGGGGAGGGGGACCTTGAGGTTGAGGTGAAGCTGGGGTTGGAGCTGGAGCCTAAGGAGGTACTGCAGTCTGAGGAGGAGGTAGGGACAGGGGAAGGAGAACGGGAAGGAGAACGGAAAGGAAAGAGGGAACGGAGCATTTTGGTTAGGAATTTCGGTGGGATTAAGGAAGGTGGGGTTTAAGGTCGTTCGGGTAGTAACGATGAAGGCGTGCCTGAGAGTGAACTGCTGCTAGAAGTACCTGACTTGCTTGCTTTGCCTGTGCCGGACAGGAGCTTTGGTATGATGTTCAGGAAGGAGTGTATGGCACGCGCTTCTCGTTACTTACCCTGAGTCCCTAATTTTCTGATGATGTGAGTGTGAATCTTGGTGGTGAGACGGCAAGATGTTACACGACGGGTGATGACGGAGGCTTTATACCTGCTGGAGGTAACAACAGTAGATGAATCCATTCAGAACACACTACAATGGCCTTGTTCGTGCTGCTCTCGTGGTGCGTTCCAGCGAGATCCTTTGTTGACAACTTTCTACGTTGAAATTTTGGAGATTGAGTGGCTGAGTGGCTGAGGGCATGAGGTTGTAGTGAAAGAGGAAGGTTGGAACAACACCATTGTTCCTGCCTTCTTTTGCTTTGTCTCTGAGATGTGGCTTTTAGGTGCCCAGACGCTATTCTGGAGCTTTCTTGCCATCATGCAGTGAACATTGACTCGATGAGTGAAGATTGGTGCCTCCATGAGGCGATCACGGTACATTTAATACAGCCGGAAGTTCTGCCTGTCCCTCCGGCGGCTACCTGGGACGTCTTGATATACGGTAGAGGCAGGTTTTGATAGCAAGTGACATACTACCCCTGAGCCCGACCCTAACCCTCACCCCTTATTCGCTCGCATCCCCAAGTTATCAAACTTCCCCGGATGGTCGTAAGAATAAACCGAACAAGTCACGGTCAGTACTGAGTACATCACAGCTTGAGTACACTCGATCACGCGTCCAAGCGTTTTTTTATGCCTTTGAACCCAACCTCAAGGCAGTTCTTAAATGGAAGAATCCCTACTGGACTCTAAGTACTCGAAATCAAAAAGTCCGGGGCTTTCCCAGTTCCTATCAAAGTGACATCTGGCTCCGTTGGATACGAGAAGGTCTGCCATTGGCCGCCAATTCCAAGGTTCATGCTTCGGGTTGATTCGCCGCTCGGTCCAGACTAACAGAAAGGCGCCCATTGCCGTGACTGGCCGTAACGTTGATCCGGGAGGATGGCGACGATCGGGCCCGAAATTTGGAGCAGCGAGAGATGGGTCTGCTCCAAGGCGGAAGAGATGAGAGATTGTGTCGAGATTATAGCTGTTGTCGTAATAGCTATGGCTATGCCTGAAGTTGTGTAGAAGTTCGTTCCAGATCGCAAGATGAAGTGGCCTGGAAGTAATCCCGCGTTCGGAAGAGGGACCCCCATTGACGTCCAGCCCATACCTTGTGACCAGCAGGTCGATAATATCTGACAGGTGCTCACGTGCCCCGTTATTAGGAGTGCTCCGAAGGATAAGCTGGGACAGCAGACACGGTCCCCAGTAGGCCTGCGTGAGATCAAAGTCTTTGATGTCGCGAAGCATGTAATGCACAATCCCGTACCTCCCCAGGAAGGCGGCGTATTCCAGGGAGCTACTCTCTGGACAGAGAATGGTATGCAACATGGATTGCCAGCCGGAGGAACCATTGATATGACGAGCGGGCGGGGACAGGCACTTGCAACAGTTTCGCGAAGGGACGTAGGGGTTTGCCATTCCCTTCTTGATCAGGTGTATGGCTGTGGCCGCAGTGTCCGGGTTGGGATAGGCGTGCATGGTGGCCACGATTATGGCGGGATACACGGGCTTTTTGTTGCCGTTCTTTTTCTCGGAGAGTGCGAGGGATTCATCGTCGCAGTAGTCGACCGTAGGGTTGTGGTCTTTGTCGTTGAAGTGGTAATCGAAGCAATTGGCACCAGCGTCCAAACCCTCCAAAACTAAAGTGGACCGATTGTCGGCGAGGAAGTCGATGATATCGTGCCGAGCGAATTTGATACTGGACACCAGGGCCTCCTTCCAATGGCGTCTCCAGAGGATGGGCTTGACAATGTCATAGAATCGGCGACATGTTCCTGCCAGCTGCGCCAAGTGTTTCCTGCGGATCTTATTGCGTTCGCGGAAGTTATAGTCCAGGTCGCGGTCGTGCTCCAGACTTAGCTCGACGACGATGAGACCTAGGACCTCGGTGGGCAAATTAATGATTTTGGGCATCTTTGGGTTCCGAGGATCGTTGTCGATGAACTTTGAGTCAGCTTGGAAGAACACGGAGGCCTTTTATAGGCGTTATTGCTATCTTTCTTGGCCCAACCTACCAAGTAGGTATTAGCGTCGATGTATGATCCGTTTTGCCGACGTTTTGGTCACATCCAATGGCAGACATTCGAACGTCCTGCTTCGGAACGCGATTCATTCTCGCCGGTAAACGCCCAGATAACCATGCTCTGTTGTCGAAGGGTTGTGGTCGACGGGATGCAGGTTGTCGTCGGGTGTTCTGTATCGGTTTGGAACAGTGGTCTGGGCCCTGAAGAAGCTTTGATCACGCCCCCGCTGATAAGGAACGATCGGAGCTAAGATAAGCAACCGCGACCCGCAGCCCGCAAGGTGCACGCCGACTTAAGGCAACCATCAACTTGCAAAGAGACGCCGAATTGAAGAAAGGAGCGTGGACTGTCAGGTCCAATTCTCGTTGATGTGTTTGCTGATTCAGATCCATAGCAGTTTCGGTCAGAAATCAATGTTGATTGATAATCCTGACATGGTGTTGAATCTCGATTTCTTTAATGACAACGGCACACGCACTTGCCAAGAACACCGAGACCCCGCATGCTCAGGGATTAATAAGCCAGATGCTAACCTAAAAGGGTATTAAGCTTTCCTCTCGGACAAGAGCTTAGTTACCAATGGAACCGATTCGATGCATGAGAAGTCGCGATCGAATTGAAAGACGTGAAGCACGACAGCGCAGTCGTACAAACAGAAAGTGCATTGTGTAAAGTCTGAAAAGTGTTTGATTTCTTCCAATCCATCCCATTCAACCCGCCCGCTCTTTCTCCCTTGCATCAACCGACCCGAACTGCAGGAAGTCGGAGCTCCCCATCAGCAACTCCCGTCCCGTGCTTATCTGATAAAGCTGTCCCCTCCCCCGACTCTGTCGTCATTCTTTTTCGCAACTCCCATCGAACAAACCAAAACGCCATCAAACCAACCAAAGTAAACCAATTCCAGCCCAACCGTTACAATGGCTCTTAGAACCATCCTCGTCACCGGCGCGACCGGCCAACAAGGCGGCGCCGTAGTCCGCGCCCTCCTCAACCACCGCAACTTCGACGCCTCCCCCCTCAAGATCCTCGCCCTTACTCGCAACGCCTCCAGCCCCTCGGCCCAGCGCCTCGTCGATTCCAGCAAGGGCATCGTCCAGCTGATCCAGGGCGACTCGACCAACCCCAAGCCCATCTTCGACGCCCAGCCCAAGGGCTCCATCGACTCGCTCTTCGTCGTCACCACGATGGGCAAGCAGCCCGAGGAGCAGCAGGCGATCCCGCTCATCGACACGGCCGTCGAGCACGGCGTCAAGCAAGTCATCTTCTCGTCGGTTGACCGCGGCGGAGACGAGAAGAGCTGGGACAACCCATGTCCCGAGATCCCCCATTTCGTGGCCAAGCACAACGTCGAGGTGCACATCCGCAACAAGGCCGAGAAGGACCCGTCCCAATTCTCGTGGACCATCCTGCGCCCCGTCGCCTTCATGGACAACTTCAACCCGGGCTTCTTCTGCAAGCTCATGACGGCCATGTGGCGCAGCGCCCTCAAGCCCACCACCAAGCTGCAACTCACGGGCGTTCGCGACATTGGCCTGTTTGCTGCCGAGGCCTTTCACAACCCGACCGAGTACGCCGGCAAGGCCGTGGGCATTGCGGGCGACGAGTTGACGCTCGAGGAGGCCCGCGAGAAGTTCAAGAAGGTTACTGGCAAGGAGTTGCCCGAGACGTTCACCTTCCTCGGCTCCCTGATGCTCTGGATGGTCAAGGACATGGGCGCCATGTTTGCCTTCTTTGAGAACCAGGGCTATGGAGTGGATATCGAGGCCACGAAGAAGATTGTGCCGACGGAGGACTTTGAGACGTGGTTGAAGGAGAGCAGCAAGTGGAAGTAGGGGGACATGGATGCTGCTGCTGCTGCTGCTGCTGCTGCGTCGAGGTGTACGATACTCTTCTGTTGTCCTGTTTGTTTTCTTTTGTCGGATTTGCTTGTTGGCTGAGGCTGCGAGTCAAAATAGTTACCATTAATTGAGTGGATAATAGAGATTGTTTTAGCAATTCCTTTGTCTTTACGTTCGAGCACGCGGGGCACAAAGGATCTCAAGGGTATCACCACTTCACCAGAGCGGTAGTGTAGGCGTAGTCGAACACCAGCAGTTGCAAATCCTACCTCAGGAACACCCCCTCGCATTGCCTGTTCGGATTACAAAATGATTCATCCTGAGTGAGATACTGTGTTACATTGTCGGCTCAGGAGCGGCCGTCGTGCGGGGAAATGGCCGCCGTTCCTCGCACATTGAGATGGAGAAGGATCATACATCGATCGCCTGTCGGTTCTTGGCCCCTGTCAAACAAGACTAGGCACCTACCAAAGATTCTATATAAAAACTCTTGAAGCCCCTCACACAAAAGTCTGCCTGGAGTTAACACATCAATTCCAACTCACACCGTCTCACACCTGCTTGCATCGAGAGGGAACATCCTCTAACAACATCGGCATTATCTAGACCAAAACTCACAAACCCCCATCTCCTCCCCAAGTCTACACCTCCCAAGTCATCACAATGACCTCCGCCAAATCCACCCTCGACCAAATCCTCCACCGCTACACCACCCACCCCGACTCGCCTTCCACCAAAGACAAACTTCTCGGCGCCGCCTTCGTCGTCGTCGACAAATCCGGCCCCATCTACTCTGGCGCAGCCGGCCACACCTCCCTCCCCATCACTTCCTCCTCCCCAGCCTTCTCAACCGACTCCTTCCTCTGGGTCGCCTCCCTCACCAAACTCCTCACAACCATCTGCCTAATGCAACTCGTCCAGCAAGGCAAGCTTAGCCTAGACGAGGATATCCGTGAAAAGTTGCCGGAGTTGACCAAGGCCGGAATCCTCCGAGGTTTTGACGACGACTCAAAGTCCGGAGAGGGAGAGGGAAAGGGAGAGGGGAAAGCGATACTGGAAGAGATCACCAAGCCGATTACTCCAAGACAGTTGCTCACGCACTCCGTCGGCCTATCCTACGATCTCGGCCACCCCCTTTTGGAGAGATGGGCCAAAGAAGTCGGCAAAAAGGGCGACACGAATTCCATGACTGTGGAAGGGTGGACTACTCCCCTTTTGTTTGCGCCGGGTGAAGGGTGGGTATATGGAACGGCGTTGGATTGGGCGGGGGTTTTGTTGGAGCGGGTTTTGGGCGGCGCCTCGGGTGGTGAGAACACGACGACGCTGGGACAGTACATGCGCAAGAACGTCTTCGAGCCGCTGGGCATGGAAACCTCGACACTGAAGCCGGCTGCTGAACCCCTAGAAAAACTGGAAAAGAGGATGAAAGACAAGCTGGTCCCCGTGGCGCTGAGGGATGCCGAGACGGGCGAGCTGTCGCAGGGAGAATTGCCGATCTCAACGGCGTGGGATCCCAAGGCGGAGAGCGGGGGTGCGGGGTTGTGGACTACGGCGGAGGATTATGGGAAGGCTTTGGCGGCGGTTTTGAGGGCTGCTGACGCTGATGAGGGGGAGGGGGCGCTGGGGCTCAAGAAGGAGACGCTTGATCAGATGTTTAGTCCGCAGTTGAATGAGAAGGGGCTGGAGATGATCAAGGAGATGGGGAGGGCGTTTCATGCGGGTGTCATGCCTGAGTTTCCGGAAGGGTTCGAGGCGGTCGATCATGGCTTGGGCGGGCTTCTGAATTTGGAGGATGTGGAGGGTAAGAGGAGGAAGGGGAGTATGATGTGGCATGGATACTGCAATTCGCATTGGGTAAGTCGGTCCTACTCTGGTCATTGTGAACGGACGGCTAACGTTTGGGGATGCAGTGGATTGACCGTGAAACTGGCATTGGTGCGTGCCTCTTGGCTGAACAGTTTCCCTTTGCCGACCCGGTGGTCATTCAGCTGTACAACGATCTCGAGCGGGCGGTTTATGGGGAGCTGGTCCCCGAGTGGAAGGCGAAGGCTGCTTGAGGTCTAGTTACCATGTTATCCAGAAATGAGCCGCCGTATGGCTATAAGTTACATGACCAGAAGTAGTAGATCTCCAATTGAACTCCTATAACAGTCCTACAGGCGATCCATTGTTAGTCTATTGACTACAAGCTTCTTCAGTAGCCGTAACTCCTTCAATAGCTACAACCTCTTCAGTAGCTGCACTTGTATCGTCAGCAAATCCCATTTGCGTCAGGAACTCCGTGGCACCCTCGACAAGCCTCCCGATTATCTCGGACCCTTTGCCGTTGCCAGCCTCTGCAGCAGCCTTCAAGTCCTCACCCAGGTAAGTGGGCAGTTTATCCAGCTTCGCGGGCGGATCACCTTCCCCTCCCTTGTATTTAACCCGTTGTTGCATTTCGGGCCCAAAGGCATCCATGACTTCTTCCAAGAACAACGCCGCCTCGTCAAACAGTTGTAGGTAGTCAAGCTGGAGAAGGCCTTCCAAAAGTGTCTGGACAGAGTCATCAACCAGCTGCAGCATCTCGATAGGCGACAACTTGGACAGAACCGCTTTGCGCCGCAGGTGCTCCTCGGTCTTCTCGTCCAACTTGGGTGGCGCAACCGAATAAGTACCTGTCGTCGTGCCGTTCACATCTCCGTCCTCCAATAACTCATTCGCCTCCCGAGTGGAACCCACAAGGGTACGTGGAGTTCCTCGGCGCCGTTCGAGCTGTAGTCGATGCATGGCCAGATGCTCCATGTAGGCAATCTCGTAGTAAGAGTCTTCTTCGGCAAAACCATAGCGATAGTACAAAGTTCTTCGGATCTTGACAGATTGGGCGAACCCGGACCTGTTTGCGAGATCGGGAGGGCCGTCCCAGCCTGCTGGTGGCTTGATCGCCAGTTGGTAGTTGTGGATAATGGCGACGGGGTCCTTTACACCAAGGAAGCCGCTCTTGAACATGCTGTCATCGAGGTAGGTTTCGTTAAGCATCTCCATGTTGGGCCAGACAGGTAGGCTTGGATCGGCAGCACGAGCGGCATGATACAAGTAGGACGCAGCCTCGAGAACGTAGGTGAAGGCGGCAAACTGGTGGCCCATTTCGCTATGCACAAGCCTTGCGCGGAAGTCGAGCAAGCCGGCAAAGACTGGCTCGTTCTTGAGGAGGAAGAACTCCTCTGGGTCTTCGTCAATCCCCATTTGTTGGAAGCGGAACAGCTTGTCTTCGTAGGTGAAGTCTTCTAGCAGGAACTCGGTGGTGTCCTGGATGCGATCGCTGTACTCCCGCTTAAATGCCCTATCTCTGGTTACACTGCTGGGATCGTGAAGGCGGAGCGCATTCACCACTCTTTGGCCCGTCTTTTGCATTTCGTTGAACGGATTGATGACTTCTTCCTCCATGATGTGGCGGATATCGACCCACAGGTGGAAGGAGAAGATGAGGGAAGACGTTACAGCATGCCTCTTGAGCGATTCCTGCCAGTCTTGCAACAGCAGTGGCTCGGCTGGGAGTTTTGGGGGAACCTGCCCATTCTTCTTGAGGGCCTTTAACAAAGAACCCTCTGTGATCATCTGAAAGCTGATTGTGTTTTCAAATTCCTGCCAGGTCTTCATGTTATGTGCGCCATAGACAACCTTTTTGCGGGCTGAAGGCGGCAGCATGGGAACCTTGCCGGGAGGGACGTTCTCGAGGGTCCGGTATATTGTACAGTAAGACATAAAAGCTAACCAGTCAGCCTCGTCTCTCCACAAACGCTCGTCGTGTTCCTCCTGGCTCAGATCATCGTACGAGTCGTAATCGATGTGTTCGATGCCAACCTGTATGAAGAGCATGTCCATCATAGAGTTATACTGGGTGAGCTCGGGATGGAACTTGAGCGCCTTCATCAGGTCCCACTCCAGCATGTGGAATAGCTCGAAGGCGGCGTTGGTAATGACGGCCAAGGTGTTGAGATAGACGGACCGGTCGTACCAGTAGTCGCACCATCGCTCTTGGACGTAGTTTCGGATGGTGTTGAAGTCTTCGAAGAAGCAGTAGACCATCATGTAGAAATCGAACTCGTCGTCCTCGTCGTCCTCGTCTGCCAAGGGGAGGCCCCAATCAAACGTGTCCAGCCACGAAGTGTCGTCATTATTGTCTGTCGTGGAGGGGCGAGGGGATGTCCTCGTCTCGCTGCGGCGTTCTTTATGCGGCTTCCTCTTTTTGCTCTTGTGTGATTTTTTGGACCTCGTGGACTTTCGGTCATCTTCGGACGGTGGATCGGCTTGGTCGTCTTCAGCTGCGTCGGGGGGCGTCTGGACTTCGAGATGGGTAAACATGTTGATGAGATCGGACAGGCCCATTGGGTTCTTCTCGTCGGGCTTCTCGTTTTTGGTGTCCTTGCGGCGAGCCGAGGTCAGGGCCTCGAACTTGGCAAGGATGCGCTCGAGGACGTTGATGATGTGGGCGTGAGTTTGATTGCTCTCCTGGAGCTTTCGGTCGGCCGGTCGCTTGGCGGCGGCGCCACTGAAGAACTTGAAGCTCTTCTTGCGGAGGTTGACGACATCACGGAGGATGTTGACGGCGGCATCGGGGATCTGCTCGGGCTCGGCGTTGTCGGCGATCTTGAGGGCGAGAATCTCGAGTTCGGTCCAGTGGACAGATTTGGCACTTTCGACGTTGGTCTCGAGGCGGGGATCGGCAAGAGGGGTGACTGTGGCTTTGGCTCGTGCCTTTTTCTGTCGTCGGGATTCCTTTGCGGGGGCCGGGGCTGTCTCGACGACTTTTGTCTGATGGGACGGGGCCGTGCCGTTCGGTTTTCGGGACACGACCTTGTCGGCGGTTTGCTTGACCCAGCTGGTGAACTGTGCCTGGGCAAGCTTGTAACGAGCCCATGTGCCGCGGCCCACTCGATTCTCGGTCGATTCCATGTCTCAATGAATAGAGACTCGGGTAGGAGCGTGAAATGGTGTCGACATCGGGGATGGGTTGTTCGGTGTCAATTCCCGTCGTGCCAGAAGCAGCCTCGGCATCCAGTTATTTTCGTGTCAAGTCAAACGACGTCACGCGTCCGGGTTCCAGAGGAAGACGTGCCTGGCGGGGAGCCCCCCTGCGCGCCCTGTACAGTCCAATGCTGTTTGGTTGTTAGTTTGGTACACTTGGTATATTGGACGATATCCATTCCGAATTGTCCCAAACCTTATAAGGCCAAATTGAATGGCTAAGCACGGATCCAAAAGGCATTAATAAGATTCTATATGACATATTGAACTTCGGAAATAGTATATGCAAGATAAGATTACGCTTTAATCATAAAACCAAACGAATCAATTAGACATAAAAACACCTAGGGAAGTTGATGCGAGGTCTTGAGCTAACAAACAAACCAGTATTGGACTGTAGGTGGCCTGTGCTCTTCCCGGGACTCGGGCGGGGTCACTTCAGCATCCCCTCGTCAACAACATCGAACCCAATTCTACCAGTGCAAACAAAAACAACACCTACAGAACGGCGATTTGCAGAAAAACGTTCATAAATGCTGTTGTCCGACGCTATCTGAGCAAATTTCGCCCCTACCATGTGTGCCTACCTCGAAGTCAAGAGCCAGTAATGAGCTAGGCTTCAGGAAAAGACATCTACCACTAATGCACAAGTCTCGCCATGGCCTTCAGGGGCTTCAGGGGCTTTTCACTGATTCTTTACCTACTGCCCAACTCCAGCTTTCTCCCTTTTCAACATCATCATACACGCTGGACCTTGACACAAATACGCAGCCATATCCATCATCCGAACATCAACTACCCTCCACTCTGATCGCCATCTCAAATGGGCTCCAATGATGTGCCGCCCGCCCATTGCCCGTCATGGGTAGTCCCCACGAGTACCGCTCTGCTCGGCATCGGCGTGCTCTTCTGGGACGCGACCTACATCTTGATGACGCGCCGCGCCCTAGCCACCAAGACCTACGGCATGCCGCTCCTGGCCCTCGCTCTCAACGTTTCATGGGAGCTGGTCTATGCCTTTTACGTCAGCGAGATGATACTGGAGAAACTCGGGTTTGCCTTCTGGCTCTTGCTGGACATCGGCCTCATCTACACCACCGTCCACTTCGGTCCCGAGGCCTGGCGTCTTACGAATCCGTGGGTAGGCCGAAACATCGGCTGGCTTTTTGCCCTTATGACCGCCGTCGGATGCGTGGGTCACTACGCCTTTGCTGCCTGGTGGATGTCCGAGCCTCACCGGGGTTCCGGCGATAAGACGGGCAAGTTCTGGGCGGGCCAGGATGGATATGATGCCACCGAAGCGGCCTTTTGGTCTGCCGCCGTTTGTCAACTGGCCGGCAGCGCGGGGAGTCTCGCCATGCTCATAACCCGGGGTCATTCTGGGGGAACAAGCTATCTGATTTGGTAGGTTCCAAGACTTCCCTTTTTCTTCTTCTCCGTATGTACTTGTACATCGAAATGGCAGACGAGTACGCGATTCGGATATGGGTTCGACCAAGGCGGTAATATCTCCGCTGGAACAGGACAATGCCGCAAATATTTGCGAGTTTGACAAGCGGCCATCGTTTCACATACAATGCCACACCCGCGCCTTGCGCTTAAGGAACCCATCACAATCATGGACATCTCCACGCAAACGTCACTAACAAGTACGCCAGGCTATGTCGAGCTCTCGGAACACTGGTCGGTTTGGTTTTAGCCAACGTCTTCCTTTGGTGGTTCTGGCCAGAGGCGCATGGCTTCGTCTTCAACCCCTTTGCCGTATTTCTCTGGGGGACTTCTCTCGTCTGCGATATCTTGTATCCTTTCGTACTGTGGCAGGTCCGCCGGTCCGAGGTGTTGCTTCCAGACGGTACGCTCGCCATGTCAAGACCTGGTGAGGCCGCCATGGCAGCCCCCAGGAACCATCAGAAGAAGAAGCAATAAGGTCTTCGTGTCTGCAAGGGGCTGGATTGATGTTCAGACAGGTAACGATTGGCAGTCAAACGACCACTGTTTTCCCTAGATCCCAGCGAGTGTCTCTGCTTGAGACTTGCCCGCCTCCAAGCTGCATACAATTCCCATCATGTGCTCTATGGTCGTCATCGGCCTCAGAACTCTCGTTGCGTGTAGGGCGGTAGCAAGATGCCGCACAAATCCAGCTTCGCGTGCATCGAGAAGACAGCCAACAGTGGCATACACGTAGACACCAACATACACAGCCCTATGCACAGTGTGTTTCAAAAGCACAGCCTACCGCCAATGTGTTTCGTATGCCGTCTTGACAGGAACTGTTGTTGCATTCTACCAACCAGAAACAAGCTTCCATAGGGCAGAAACAAGTTGACGGTCAACCAACATCGAATGGTAAAGAGCCACGACGGTGAACGCGTCAAAGTGAAGCGATCGCCTGCATAAACGACCAAAACAAGCATCACGTCCACGCTCTCGCGTGAACTCCTACTATTCCACTTCTGTCCTTGCGCAGATAAAACGGAGCATAACCAGGGAATGCCGTCCAGTCAGTTCCTCGAGCGACCGTTTTGATCTCTTTGTACCTGTGAGAAGGGTCCAAAGTACTTCTGACAGACGAATCATCAATTGGTGAAGGCCCATGGCCAGCCAGGACATGCCGCCAGAGTCAAAAAGGGAAGTGGAAATCAGGCCATGGGAAATCCGAAATTGTGATATCGATCACTCAAGCCACGAGCAGCCACAGATGGGTACGCGACCCCGAGCAGTAGGCGAGCCCGGACCCCCGGCACTGGGATTTGCTCGACAACTTGACAGGTCGCAACGGGCGGTCGTGATCGCTCACATGATTGTTGACACCACGCTAGAGATCCTGGCTACCTCGTTGACGGGCATCACATACCTCACACATGCTCACCTGCACGCTACGGGATACCAGAAAGCAAGCATCCGGGGAACCCCTGGGGACAACGGGGACTCGGACGGGTTGTCCATCGTCGATGTGCCTTATCTCTCTGGGAAGGGCCGTCCGAGACATCAAGGGATCCCTTTCTCAATTCCTAAACCGTCGGTGACTTTTTTGCTTCTCTATTCCATTCGTCGACCAACCGAATGACCTATCAACCGAATTAAGCGTACAGCTCATACAGTCCGGCACTAGTAACCCACACTCACCTTGCTCATGGCCATGCAATGGAAACAGTATCAGAGGGACTCGAAACTCACACAACGGATTGTGGGAGGCCTATGGTATCCCCTAGACCCCTACACAGGAATATCTCTGCGAACTCGACTGTAACTCACCGACCATCGTCACTTTTCCAGACCTTGCAAGAACGCGCACTATCCTTCAGTACCGAACCCAAATACCGGGTACCGTTACAGAGCGGACTGTCCTGTCCAGACAAAATGTCAAGCGAGATATGATCACCGACCAAAGCGCCAGGAAATCAGTCGATTCTGAATCAACACCATGGGAAAATGACTGGGTTAGATATCTCACCTTCCTCACACACATTCTTTGGTTCCCTTCCTCTTCACCACACGGCCCTTCCTCTTGAGAACCATTCCCAACAGACAGCAAACTTTGCTTCTCTCTGAACTTCGCAAAACCTTCCCAACCTTGGAATGGCTTGCCCGCGCCTGCGCGTCTATTTTTGGATTTATACTTCCCAAGCCATTCTGTCTCACAACTAACCCAGTGTGCACCATCCCTCTCGAGGAAGTTACTAGGTTACCTAGCACATTGCCGACCACTCCTTTGCCCCGGCCTCCAAACCGCAACCGGCTACTGGACGCCGTACCTTGTCGCGCTTGTCTCGGACGCAGCTGTTGCCGGACGATCTCGATCATGGACATGGGATGGAAGCTAGGGAACGTTTATTCATTTCCATCTTAGTGTCTATTTCTGGGTCTCAGGCACAGTGTCTGTCGTCGAACGGTAAAGGTAGAAGTAGTTGAGGTAGCTGTACATATGTAGCTCTCCACTAGCCTTGAAAGCTAACAAAGCCAAGCAGCAAGCAACAAGGCTCGCGATATGCACAATCCTCATTTACCAACAGCTTGGTAGACTACCTCTGCTTTTCGTTAGTTCCAGTTCAAACTTTGATGAACAGCTCACCATCGATCACAAGACAGCGGAAGGAGGAACTCTGATCGTCAAATTCATGTCATGAAATCTCGGAGTTTGTCTGTCTGCCTGTCTGCTGTAGAGTTGGGCCTGGGCAACACTACCTTAATGAATCCGAGAGCCGGGTTGTTGGGACTTTTGCATTCCATGACTTCTGGTCTCTGGTAGTCCGGCTTGACCGCCGACCGGCTGGCGACTCTAATTCCCATGGGCATTTACCGATTACGATGTTTGTCCACCTACCTTTCGGACCCGAATGTCATTGCAAAACTTACTGAAAGCGGATGGACATACGGGCATACGGACTTAGGACTACAAGCTTGCTATCTGCCTGGTTCTTAAGTGTGTGTTTGCAACGTCAGTAGGTACCTATCCCTCTCGAAGTCTGCCGGTTTTGATGCCGTTGACAATCATACCAGTTCTATCAGTCACGAACTAAGGTAGGTACAGGTAGCCAGGCAGTTCAGCTTGACTCCGGCCGGTCACATGAGAGTTTGCACATGCGGTCAGTCGGTTTGCCGGCGCGGGTACCTGATTCCTCAATCCCTGTGCCTTTGTACGGCAGAAGACAGAAGCAATGCATTTCAGGCACCAGAAAACCCTAACAACGCTTCGGCCGTTGGTGAATGTTTGCTTGTTTTTCCCTGGACTTCTCCTCCGGGCTCCGAATGCAGTACTTTTCCCATTCGTCCACCCACTCTAAGATCTCTATCTGAGACCTCGCCGTTGCCGTCGCCGAATTCCTTGCCCTTCTGGGACTGGACTGGATGTTTGGTATTCCTTTTCCTTGGGGGTTTGAAGTGAAAAAGAAAGCGTAAGTAGGTAGAGGTACACAGTCGTATCGAGAAGTGAGTAGAGGTCGGAAGCACCCTGAGGACTCGACGTGACCTTGACTGTTCAGTTTCTCTCATAAAACGGACAATTCCGGATCGACCGAAGATCTTCCCCTTCCTTTGGTGACTGGACTGGAACCAGTTTTACTTATCTGAAACTAGTCAGGTAGTAGGTACAGTGCTATCTGCCGGTTGCTGGTAGAGAGATGTTGACTGGAGACTTCAGTATACAACCAGGTGCTTGCTGTACAGTGCCAATCAACTCTAACTCCGTTGTCTACAAGTATTCACAGCAACTGGATACATCAGTTTCAAGGCCTCGAGCACCGCATAGCCTGCATAATAAACTTCAATCGCGCTTAAGAAACCACGTCCGTTCGTGAGCCTGGCTGGCTGACAGTAGCCCCCATCCCTCTTAAGGTCAGTTATTGTTAAATATCTTTCATCCAATCAAAAGGCAAGATGGCCGAGCGGTCTAAGGCGCCACGTTAAGGTAAACCCTTAATCTTCTCCAAGAAATCCGTGGTCCGAAAGGGCGTGGGTTCGAATCCCACTCTTGTCATTATCTTGTTATCTACCTTCGCTCAGGTGGGTCGGATCTTGTTTTTTCTTTCTGGATTCCGGTGATGACCGGGATACCGTGGTGAGCGTTAGGGGTATTTCGGTCTTCGGAAGTGCGTCGTCATCGGTCAGCCAGATGAGATTCGTATCCACCTTCACTCAGGTGGGTTATCTCTTTTTGTTCTTTCTGGATTTTGGCGATGACCGGGATACCGTGGTGAGCGTTGGGGGTATTTCGGTCTTCGGAAGTGCGTCGTCGGTGTCGGTCAGCCAGATGAGATTCGTACTTTTTGCTTGTTGAAAAGTGCATAGGTATGTGTGGGATCGTTGTGAGGCTATTGCATCGGCAGTGAAATTGCAAACTCGCTGCTAGGGAGTTTTGGTCGACGATCGTTGTTTGCTGCTGCGAAACGTATATGAAAATGCCGGTTGGCTTAGTCCATCAACATGGCAAAGAGATAGAAACAGCACGAGTATCACCAGTAAAAAGACTGATGTTGTTGAAGAATGAACTATGAAGGAGAGAGTAACGAGTTCATTATCATTTGTGGCAGAGTTGAAGTCAAAGCCAATGTACCTAACTATGTAGATAGTAGACTCTTCAAGCGCTGCGGCAGATGTGCAGAGTCAAAGTGCAAATCAACGTAAACCAACCCAAACCCTCTTTGGCGTATATGTACACATGCCCTGACAAAAAAATATCAACAACAGCTAAACAAGCTGCATGGCGCAGCGGAAGCGCGCCGGGCTCATAACCCGGAGGTCACTCGATCGAAACGAGTTGCAGCTACTCAACCTTCTCTTTTTTTTGGCTTTCTTCTCGTTCTGTGTTTGCATTGATTTTTTTTTTCTTTGTGATGTACTTGTGGAGTCCCCGATAAGGCGAAGTAGACCAAAGAGTTCTCCGGGTTTGGTTCTGGGTCCATATGGAGGTTCTGGCCAAGGTCTCCACTACGGCCCGGTCCGCTCTCGCTCCGGGACTCCGGGTCCGGCTTTGTGACTTGTAACTGGTTGGTCCTCGTGAGTGTCGTTGTTGACTGATGAGACAACTCGGGTTATGATGACTATGTTACGACTTTGCTAACATCCCTTTCCCTTTTTATGTTGACCAGTTGCTGTTCTCATTTCAGTCAAGTTCTACGGTGTACATACATGCGCAAGTTCCATAGCGGTTTTAGTCCTGACCCCCACACTTCAGTTGCCAACCGTCATGGATATGTTGTGTCCCTCGTTCAAAAGTCATTATCAGGGCTATGGACACATCTACAACTTTCACCTCCGCGAACTCGGCTATCGGGAGAACAAAGCGCAAAGGGTATGGAGAACGACGGGAGAAGGAGCAGCCCTTTTCTTGCGGCTTTTTCAGCAGGTTAAGATCAGGAATTCAGAATCAGGCTTAGGATCAGGATCAGGATCAGGATTATCAGTTTGTAAGAGCGTGTCATCGGTTGGTGGGGGACGTAGAGCTCCATCTTCATCCTACCCCCGCGCACTGTGGCGTACAATCTAGTACTGGTTTGTTAGCTTGGTACCTACTCCTGGTATACTGG